AAGAGGACCAGACAAGCGCAACCAGATGACCCGGTGGAAGAAAAACGCTCGGAACGAGCGCTTCCTGCTCCAAAATGCGGAAAGATACGCACATGTGCAGGAAGTGCAGCGGGCGCTCTCCATTCGCGATCGCCGATGACCGATGATGCTCGCAACCCTCCCACGCCCTTGCTGGCTTGGTAATAGGACCATAGAAGCGCAGCCACGTGTCCCGGTGGAAGAAAAACACTCGGAACGAGCGCTTCCAGCCCCAAAATGCGGAAGGATACGCACATGTGCAGGAAGTGCAGCGGGCGCTCTCCATTCGCGATCGCTGATGACCGATGATGCTCGCAACCCTCCCAGGCCCTTGCTGGCTTGGTAATAGGACCAGACAAGCGCAACCACGTGACCTGGTGGAAAAAAAACGCTCGGAATGAGCGCTTCCAGCCCCAAAATGCGGAAGGATACGCACATGTGCAGGAAGTGCAGCGGGCGCTCTCCATTCGCGATCGCCGATGACCGATGATGCTCGCAACCCTCCCATGCCCTTGCTGGCTTGGTAATAGGACCAGAGAAGCGCAGCCACGTGACCCGGCGGAAACAAAACGCTCGGAACAAGCGCTTCCAGCCCCAAAATGCGGAAGGATACGCACATGTGCAGGAAGTGCAGCGGGCGCTTTCCATTCGCGATCGCCAATGACCGATGATGCTCGCAACCCTCCCATGCCCTTGCTGGCTTGGTAATAGAACCAGACAAGCGCAGCCACGTGACCCAGCGGAAGAAAAACGCTCAGAACGAGCGCTTCCAGCCTCAAAATGCGGAAGGATACGCACATGTGCAGGAAGTGCAGCGGGCGCTCTCCATTCGCGATTGCCGATAACCGATGATGCTCGCAACCCTCCCACGCCCTTGCTGGCTTGGTAATAGGACCAGACAAGCGCAGCCACGTGACCCAGCGGAAGAAAAATGCTCGGAACGAGCGCTTCCAGCCCCAAAATGCGGAAGGATACGCACATGTGCAGGAAATGCAGCGGGCGCTCTCCATTCGCGATTGCCGATGACCGATGATGCTCGCAACCCTCCCACGCCCTTGATGTCTTGGTAATAGGACCAGAGAAGCGCAGCCACGTGACCCGGTGGAAGAAAAATGCTCGGAACAAGCGCTTCCAGCCCCAGTATGCGGAAGGATGAGCACATGTGTAGGAAGTGCAGCGGGCGCTCTCCATTCGCGATCGCCGATGACCAATGATGCTCGCAACCCTCCCATGCCCTTGCTGGCTTGGTAATAGGACCAGAGAAGCGCAACCACGTGACCCGGCGAAAGAAAAATGCTCGGAACAAGCGCTTCCAGCCCCAAAATGCGGAAGAATACGCACATGTGCAGAAAGTGCTGCGGGCGCTCTCCATTCGCGATCGCCGATGACCGATGATGCTCGCAACCCTCCCACGTCCTTGCTGGCTTGGTAATAGGACCAGACAAGCCACGTGACCCGGTGGAAGAAAACGCTCGGACCGAGCGCTTCTAGCCTCAAAATGCGGAAGGATACGCACATGTGCAGGAAGTGCAGCGGGCGCTCTCCATTCGCGATCGCCGATGACCGATGATGCTCGCAACCCTCCCATGCCCTTGTTGGCTTGGTAATAGGACCAGACAAGCGCAGCCACGTGACCTGGCGGAAGAAAAACGCTCAGAACCAGCGCTTCCAACCTAAAGGATACGCACATGTGCAGGAAGTGCAGCGGGCGCTCTCCATTCGCGATCGCCGATAACCGATGATGCTCGCAACTCTCCCACGCCCTTGATGGCTTGGTAATAGGACCAGACAAGCGCAACCACGTGACCCGCTGGAAGAAAAACGCTCGGAACGAGCGCTTCCAGCCTCAAAATGCGGAAGGATACGCACATGTGTAGGAAGTGCAGCGGGCGCTCTCCATTCGCGATCGCCGATGACCGATGATGCTCGCAACCCTCCCATGCCCTTGCTGGCTTGGTAATAGGACCAGAGAAGCGCAGCCACGTGACCCGGCGAAAGAAAAACGCTCGGAACAAGCGCTTCCGGCCCCAAAATACGGAAGGATACGCACATGTGCAAGAAGTGCAGCGGGCGCTCTCCATTCGCGATCGCCGATGACCGATGATGCTCGCAACCCTCCCACGCCCTTGCTGGCTTGGTAATAGGACCAGAGAAGCGCAGCCACGCGACCCGGTGGAAGAAAAACGCTCGGAACGAGCGCTTCCAGCCCCAAAATGCGGAAGGATACGCACATGTGCAGGAAGTGCAGCGGGCGCTCTCCATTCGCGATTGCCGATAACCGATGATGCTCGCAACCCTCCCACGCCCTTGCTGGCTTGGTAATAGGACCAGAGAAGCGCAGCCACGCGACCCGGTGGAAGAAAAACGCTCGGAACGAGCGCTTCCAGCCCCAAAATGCGGAAGGATACGCACATGTGCAGGAAGTGCAGCGGGCGCTCTCCATTCGCGATCGCCGATGACCGATGATGCTCGCAACCCTCCCACGCCCTTGCTGGCTTGGTAATAGGACCAGAGAAGCGCAGCCACGTGACCCGGTGGAAGAAAAACGCTCGGAACGAGCGCTTCCAGCCTCAAAATGCGGAAGGATACGCACATGTGCAGGAAGTGCAGCGGGCGCTCTCCATTCGCGATTGCCGATGACCGATGATGCTCGCAACCCTCCCACGCCCTTGATCTCTTGGTAATAGGACCAGAGAAGCGCAGCCACGTGACCCGGTGGAAGAAAAACACTCGGAACGAGCGCTTCCAGCCCCAAAATGCGGAAGGATGCGCACATGTGTAGGAAGTGCAGCGGGCGCTCTCCATTCGCGATCGCCGATGACCGATGATGCTCGCAACCCTCCCATACCCTTGCTGGCTTGATAATAGGACCAGAGAAGCGCAACCACGTGACCCGGCGAAAGAAAAATGCTCGGAACAAGCGCTTCCAGCCCCAAAATGCGGAAGAATACGGACATGTGCAGAAAGTGCTGCGGGCGCTCTCCATTCGCGATCGCCGATGACCGATGATGCTCGCAACCCTCCCACGCCCTTGCTGGCTTGGTAATAGGACCAGAAAAGCGCAGCCACGTGACCCGGTGGAAGAAAACGCTCGGACCGAGCGCTTCCAGCCTCAAAATGCGGAAGGATACGCACATGTGCAGGAAGTGCAGCGGGCGCTCTCCATTCGCGATCGCCGATGACCGATGATGCTCGCAACCCTCCCATGCCCTTGCTGGCTTGGTAATAGGACCAGAGAAGCGCAGCTACATGACCCGGCGAAAGAAAAACGCTCGGAACAAGCGCTTCCAGCCCCAAAATGCGGAAGGATACGCACATGTGCAGGAAGTGCAGCGGGCGCTTTCCATTCGCGGTCGCCGATGACCGATGTTGCTCGCAACCCTCCCATGCCCTTGCTGGCTTGATAATAGGACCAGAGAAGCGCAACCACGTGACCCGGCGAAAGAAAAATGCTCGGAACAAGCGCTTCCAGCCCCAAAATGAGGAAGAATACGGACATGTGCAGAAAGTGCTGCGGGCGCTCTCCATTCGCGATCGCCGATGACCGATGATGCTCGCAACCCTCCCACGCCCTTGCTGGCTTGGTAATAGGACCAGAAAAGCGCAGCCACGTGACCCGGTGGAAGAAAACGCTCGGACCGAGCGCTTCCAGCCTCAAAATGCGGAAGGATACGCACATGTGCAGGAAAGTGCAGCGGGCGCTCTCCATTCGCGATCGCCGATGACCGATGATGCTCGCAACCCTCCCATGCCCTTGTTGGCTTGGTAATAGGACCAGACAAGCGCAACCACGTGACCCGCTGGAAGAAAAACGCTCGGAACGAGCGCTTCCAGCCTCAAAATGCGGAAGGATACGCACATGTGTAGGAAGTGCAGCGTGCGCTCTCCATTCGCGATCGCCGATGACCGATGATGCTCGCAACCCTCCCATGCCCTTGCTGGCTTGGTAATAGGACCAGAGAAGCGCAGCTACATGACCCGGCGAAAGAAAAACGCTCGGAACAAGCGCTTCCAGCCCCAAAATGCGGAAGGATACGCACATGTGCAGGAAGTGCAGCGGGCGCTTTCCATTCGCGGTCGCCGATGACCGATGTTGCTCGCAACCCTCCCATGCCCTTGCTGGCTTGATAATAGGACCAGAGAAGCGCAACCACGTGACCCGGCGAAAGAAAAATGCTCGGAACAAGCGCTTCCAGCCCCAAAATGAGGAAGAATACGGACATGTGCAGAAAGTGCTGCGGGCGCTCTCCATTCGCGATCGCCGATGACCGATGATGCTCGCAACCCTCCCACGCCCTTGCTGGCTTGGTAATAGGACCAGAAAAGCGCAGCCACGTGACCCGGTGGAAGAAAACGCTCGGACCGAGCGCTTCCAGCCTCAAAATGCGGAAGGATACGCACATGTGCAGGAAAGTGCAGCGGGCGCTCTCCATTCGCGATCGCCGATGACCGATGATGCTCGCAACCCTCCCATGCCCTTGTTGGCTTGGTAATAGGACCAGACAAGCGCAACCACGTGACCCGCTGGAAGAAAAACGCTCGGAACGAGCGCTTCCAGCCTCAAAATGCGGAAGGATACGCACATGTGTAGGAAGTGCAGCGTGCGCTCTCCATTCGCGATCGCCGATGACCGATGATGCTCGCAACCCTCCCATGCCCTTGCTGGCTTGGTAATAGGACCAGAGAAGCGCAGCCACGTGACCCGGCGAAACAAAAACGCTCAAAACAAGCGCTTCGGGCCCCAAAATGCGGAAGGATACGCACATGTGCAGGAAGTGCAGCGGGCGCTCTCCATTCGCGATCGCCGATGACCGATGATGCTCGCAACCCTCCCACGCCCTTGCTGGCTTGGTAATAGGACCAGAGAAGCGCAGCCACGCGACCCGGTGGAAGAAAAACGCTCGGAACGAGCGCTTCCAGCCCCAAAATGCGGAAGGATACGCACATGTGCAGGAAGTGCAGCGGGCGCTCTCCATTCGCGATCACCGATGACCGATGATGCTCGCAACCCTCCCACGCCCTTGCTGGCTTGGTAATAGGACCAGAGAAGCGCAGCCACGTGACCCGGTGGAAGAAAAACGCTCGGAACGAGCGCTTCCAGCCTCAAAATGCGGAAGGATACGCACATATGCAGGAAGTGCAGCGGGCGCTCTCCATTCGCGATCGCCGATGACCGATGATGCTCGCAACCCTCCCACGCCCTTGCTGGCTTGGTAATAGGACCAGACAAGCGCAGCCACGTGACCGGTGGAAGAAAAACGCTCGGAACAAGCGCTTCCAGCCTCAAAATGCGGAAGGATACGCACATGTGCAGGAAGTGTAGCGAGCGCTCTCCATTCGCGATCGCCGATGATTGATGATGCTCGCAACCCTCCCATGCCCTTGCTGGCTTGGTAATCGGACCAGAGAAGCGCAGCCATGTGACCCGGCGGAAGAAAAATGCTCGGAACAAGCGCTTCCAGCCCCAAAATGCGGAAGGATACGCACATGTGCAGGAAGTGCAGCGGGCGCTCTCCATTCGCGATCGCCGATGACAGATGATGAGAATTGGGCGGGGTGATGGAAAGCAGGAGAATGGGGCGGGGTGATGGAAAGTGGGAGAATGGGGCGGGGTGATGGAAAGCAGGAGAATGGGGCGGGTGATGGAAAGTGGGAGAATGGGGCGGGGTGATGGAAAGAGGGAGAATGGGGCGGGGTGATGGAAAGCGGGAGAATGGGGCGGGGTGATGGAAAGCGGGAGAATGGGGCGGGGTGATGGAAAGCGGGAGAATGGGGCGGGGTGATGGAAAGCGGGAGAATGGGGCAGGGTGATGGAAAGCGGGAGAATGGGGCGGGGTGATGGAAAGCGGGAGAATGGCACGGGGTGCTGGAAAGCGGGAGAATGGGGCGGGGTGCTGGAAAGCGGGAGAATGGGACGGGGTGATGGAAAGCGGGAGAATGGGGCGGGGTGATGGAAAGCGGGAGAATGGGGCGGGGTGATGGAAAGCGGGAGAATGGGGCGGGGTGATGGAATGAGGGAGAATGGGGCGGGGTGATGGAAAGGGGGAGAAAGGGGCGGGGTGATGGAAGGAGGGAGAATGGGGCGGGGTGATGGAAAGCAGGAGAATGGGGCGGGGTGATGGAAAGAGGGAGAATGGGGCGGGGTGATGGAAAGAGGGAGATTGGGGCGGGGTGATGGAAAGAGGGAGAATGGGGCGGGGTGATGGAAAGCGGGAGAATGGGGCAGGGTGATGGAAAGGCGGAGAATGGGGCGGGTGATAAAAAGCGGGAGAATGGGGCCGGGTGATGGAAAGCGGGAGAATGGGGCGGGTTGATGGAAAGCGGGAGAATGGGGCGGGGTGCTGGAAAGCGGGAGAACGGGGCGGGGTGATGGAAAGCGGGAGAACGGGGCGGGTTGATGGAAAGCGGGAGAATGGGGCGGGGTGATGGAAAACGGGAGAATGGGGCGGGGTGATGGAAAACGAGAGAATGGGGCGGGGTGATGGAAAGCGGGAGAATGGGGCGGGGTGATGGAAAGCGGGAGAACGGGGCGGGGTGATGGAAAGCGGGAGAAAGGGGTGGGGTGATGGAAAGCGGGAGAATGGGGCGGGGTGATGGAAATCGGGAGAATGGGGCGGGGTGATGGAATGAGGGAGAATGGGGCGGGGTGATGGAAAGCGGGAGAATGGGGCGGGGTGATGGAAAGCGGAAGAATGGGGCTGGGTTATGGAAAGCGGGAGAATGGGGCGGGGTGATGGAAAGAGGGAGAATGGGGCGCGGTGATGGATAGAGGAAGAATGGGGCGGGGTGATGGAAAGCGGGAGAATGGGGCGGGGTGATGGAAAGCGGGAGAATAAGGCGGGGTGATGGAAAGAGGGAGAATGGGGCGGGGTGATGGAAAGAGGGAGAATGGGGCGGGGTGATGGAAAGAGGGAGAATGGGGCGGGGTGATGGAAAGAGGGAGAATGGGGCGGGGTGATGGAAAGCGGGAGAATGGGGCGGGTGTTGGAAAGCAGGAGAATGGGGCGGGTGATGGAAAGCAGGAGAATGGCACGGGGTGCTGGAAAGCGGGAGAATGGGGCAAGGTGATGGAAAGCGGGAGAATGGGGCGTGGTGATGGAAAGCGGGAGAATGGGGCGGGGTGATGGAAAGCGGGAGAATGGGGCGGGGTTATGGAAAGAGGGAGAATGGGGCGGGGTGATGGAAAGAGGGAGAATGGGGCGGGGTGATGGAAGGAGAGAGAATGGGGCGGGATGATGGAAAGCAGGAGAATGGGGCGGGGTGATGGAAAGAGGGAGAATGGGGCGGGATGATGGAAAGAGGGGGATTGGGGCGGGGTGATGGAAAGAGGAAGAATGGGGCGGGGTGATGGAAAGCGGGAGAATGGGGCAGGGTGATGAAAAGCGGGAGAATGGGGCGGGGTGATGGAAAGCGGGAGAATAAGGCGGGTTGATGGAAAGCGGGAGAATGGGGCGGGGTGATGGAAAGCGGGAGAATGGGGCGGGGTGATGGAAAGCGGGAGAATGGGGCGGGGTGCTGGAAAGCGGGAGAACGGGGCGGGGTGATGGAAAGCGGGAGAACGGGGCGGGTTGATGGAAATCGGGAGAACGGGGCGGGGTGATGGAAAACGGGACTATGGGGCGGGGTGATGGAAAACGAGAGAATGGGGCGGGGTGATGGAAAGCGGGAGAACGGGGCGGGGTGATGGAAAGCGGGAGAACGGGGCGGGGTGATGGAAAGCGGGAGAATGGGGTGGGGTGATGGAAAGCGGGAGAATGGGGCGGGGTGATGGAAAGCGGGAGAATGGGGCGGGGTGATGGAAAGCGGGAGAATGGGGCGGGGTGATGGAATGAGGGAGAATGGGGCGGGGTGATGGAAAGAGGGAGAATGGGGCGGGTTGATGGAAAGAGGGAGAATGGGGCGCGGTGATGGAAAGAGGAAGAATGGGGCGGGGTGATGGAAAGCGGGAGAATGGGGCGGGGTGATGGAAAGAGGGAGAATGGGGCGGGGTGATCGAAAGAGGGAGAATGGGGCGGGGTGATGGAAAGAAGGAGAATGGGGTGGGGTGATGGAAAGAGGGAGAATGGGGCGGGGTGATGGAAAGAGGGAGAATGGGGCGGGGTGATGGAAAGTGGGAGAATGGGGCGGGGTGATGGAAAGCGGGAGAATGGGGCGGGTGATGGAAAGCAGGAGAATGGGGCGGGTGATGGAAAGCGGGAGAACGGGGCGGGGTGATGGAAAGCGGGAGAATGGGGCGGGGTGATGGAAAGAGGGAGAATGGGGCGGGGTTACGGAAAGAGGGAGAATGGGGCGGGTTGATGGAAAGAGGGAGAATGGGCGCGGTGATGGAAGGAGGGAGAATGGGGCGAGGTGATGGAAAGCGGGAGAATGGGGCGGGGTGATGGAAAGCGGGAGAATGGGGCGGGGTGATGGAAAGCGGGAGAATGGGGCGGGGTGATGGAAAGCGCGAGAATGGGGCTGGGTGATGGAAAGCGGGAGAATGGGGCGGGGTGATGGAAAGCGGGAGAATGGGGTGGGGTGATGGAAAGAGGGAGAATGGGGCGGGGTTATGGAAAGAGGGAGAATGGGGCGGGTTAATGGAAAGAGGGAGAATGGGCGCGGTGATGGAAAGAGGGAGAATGGGGCGAGGTGATGGAAAGCGGGAGAATGGGGCGGGGTGATGGAAATCTGGAGAATGGGGCGGGGTGATGGAAAGCGGGAGAATGGGGCGGGGTGATGGAAAGAGGGAGAATGGGGCGGGGTGATGGAAAGCGGGAGAATGGGGCAGGGTGATGGAAAGCGGGAGAATGGGGCGGGGTGATGTAAAGTGGGAGAACGGGGCGGGGTGATGGAAAGCGGGAGAATGGGGTGGGGTGACGGAAAGCGGGAATGGGGCGGGGTGATGGAAAGCGGGAGAATGGGGCGGGGTGACGGAAAGCGGGAGAATGGGGCGGGGTGATGGAAAGCGGGAGAATGGGGCGGGGTGATGGAAAGAGGGAGAATGGGGCGGGGTTAAGGAAAGCGGGAGAATGGGGCGGGTTGATGGAAAGAGGGAGAATAGGCGCGGTGATGGAAAGAGGGAGAATGGGGCGAGGTGATGGAAAGCGGGAGAATGGGGCGGGGTGATGGAAAGCGGGAGAATGGGGCGGGGTGATGGAAAGCGGGAGAATGGGGCGGGGTGATGGAAGGAGGGAGAATGGGGAGGGGTGATGGAAAGCGGGAGAATGGGGCGGGGTGATGGAAAACGGAAGAATGGGGCGGAGTGATGGAAAGCGGGAGAACGGGACGGGGTGATGGAAAGCGGGAGAATGGGTTGGGGTGATGGAAAGCGGGAGAACAGGCCGGGGTGATGGAAAGCGGGAGAATAGGGCGGGGTGATGGAAAGCGGGAGAATGGGGCGGGGTGATGAAAAGCGGGAGAATGGGGCGGGGTGATGGAAAGCGGAAGAATGGGGCAGGGTTATGGAAAGCGGGAGAATGGGGCGGGTTGATGGAAAGAGGGAGAATGGGATGCGGTGATGGAAAGAGGGAGAATGGGGCGGGGTGATGGAAAGCGGGAGAATGGCGCGGGGTGATGGAAAGAGGGAGAATGGGGCGGGGTGATGGAAAGAGGGAGAATGGGGCGGGGTGATGGAAAGAGGGAGAATGGGGCGGGATGATGGAAAGAGGAAGAACGGGGCGGGGTGATGGAAAGAGGGAGAATGGGGCGGGGTGATGGAAAGAGGGAGAATGGGGCGGGTGATGGAAAGCAGGAGAATGGGGCGGGTGATGGAAAGCGGGAGAATGGGGCGGGGTGATGGAAAGCGGGAGAATGGGGCGGGGTGATGGAAAGCGCGAGAATGGGGCAGGGTGATGGAAAGCGGGAGAATGGGGCGGGGTGATGGAAAGCGGGAGAATGGGGCGGGGTGAAGGAAAGAGGGAGAATGGGGCGGGGTTATTAAAAGAGAGAGAATGGGGCGGGTTGATGGAAAGAGGGAGAATGGGCGCGGTGATGGAAAGAGGGAGAATGGGGCGCGGTGATGGAAAGAGGGAGAATGGGGCGGGGTGATGGAAAGCGGGAGAATGGGGCGGGGTGATGGAAAGCGGGAGAATGGGGCGGGGTGATGGAAAGAGGGAGAATGGGGCGGGGTGATGGAAAGAGGGAGAATGGGGCGGGGTGATGGAAAGAGGGAGAATGGGGCGGGGTGATGGAAAGCGGGAGAATGGGGCGGGTGATGGATAGCGGGAGAATGGGGCGGGTGATGGATAGCGGGAGAATCGGGCGGGGTGATGGAAAGCGGGAGAATGGGGCGGGGTGATGGAAAGCGGGAGAATGGGGCGGGGTGATGGAAAGAGGGAGAATGGGGCGGGGTGATGGAAAACGGGAGAATGGGGCGGGGTGATGGAAAGCGGGAGAATGGGGCGGGGTGATGGAAAGCGGGAGAACGGGGCGGGGTGCTGGAAAGCGGGAGAACGGGGCGGGGTGATGGAAAGCGGGAGAATGGGGCGGGGTGATGGAAAGCGGGAGAATGGGGCGGGGTGATGGAATGAGAGAGAATGGGGCGGGGTGATGGAAAGCGGGAGAATGGGGCGGGGTGATGGAAAGCGGGAGAATGGGGCGGGGTGCTGGAAAGCGGGAGAACGGGGCGGGATGATGGAAAGCGGGAGAATGGGGCGTGTTGCTGGAAAGCGGGAGAATGGGGCGGGGTGATGGAAAGCGGGAGAATGGGGCGGGGTGATGGAATGAAAGAGAATGGGGCGGAGTGATGGAAAGCGGGAGAATGGGGCGGGGTGATGGAAAGCGGGAGAATGGGGCGGGGTGCTGGAAAGCGGGAGAACGGGGCGGGGTGATGGAAAGCGGGAGAATGGGGCGGGTTGCTGGAAAGCGGGAGAATGGGGCGGGGTGATGGAAAGCGGGAGAATGGGGCGGGGTGATGGAAAGCGGGAGAACGGGGCGGGGTGCTGGAAAGCGGGAGAACGGGGCGGGGTGATGGAAAGCGGGAGAATGGGGCGGGTTGCTGGAAAGCGGGAGAATGGGGCGGGGTGATGGAAAGCGGGAGAATGGGGCGGGGTTATTAAAAGAGAGAGAATGGGGCGGGTTGATGGAAAGAGGGAGAATGGGCGCGGTGATGGAAAGAGGGAGAATGGGGCGCGGTGATGGAAAGAGGGAGAATGGGGCGGGGTGATGGAAAGCGGGAGAATGGGGCGGGGTGATGGAAAGCGGGAGAATGGGGCGGGGTGATGGAAAGAGGGAGAATGGGGCGGGGTGATGGAAAGAGGGAGAATGGGGCGGGGTGATGGAAAGAGGGAGAATGGGGCGGGGTGATGGAAAGCGGGAGAATGGGGCGGGTGATGGATAGCGGAAGAATCGGGCGGGTGATGGATAGCGGGAGAATCGGGCGGGGTGATGGAAAGCGGGAGAATGGGGCGGGGTGATGGAAAGCGGGAGAATGGGGCGGGGTGATGGAAAGAGGGAGAATGGGGCGGGGTGATGGAAAGCGGGAGAATGGGGCGGGGTGATGGAAAGCGGGAGAATGGGGCGGGGTGATGGAAAGCGGGAGAACGGGGCGGGGTGCTGGAAAGCGGGAGAACGGGGCGGGGTGATGGAAAGCGGGAGAATGGGGCGGGTTGCTGGAAAGCGGGAGAATGGGGCGGGGTGATGGAAAGCGGGAGAATGGGGCGGGGTGATGGAAAGCGGGAGAACGGGGCGGAGTGATGGAAAGCGGGAGAACGGGTTGGGGTGATGGAAAGCGGGAGAACGGGTTGGGGTGATGGAAAGCGGGAGAACGGGGCGGGGTGATGGAAAGCGGGAGAACGGGGCGGGGTGATGGAAAGCGGGAGAATGGGGCGGGGTGATGGAAAGCGGGAGAATGGGGCGGGGTGATGGAAAGCGGGAGAATGGGGCGGGGTGCTGGAAAGCGGGAGAATGGGTCGGGGTGCTGGAAAGCGAGAGAATGGGGCGGGGTGATGGAAAGCGGGAGAATGGGGCGGGGTGATGGAAAGCGGGAGAATGGGGCGGGGTGCTGGAAAGCGGGAGAATGGGGCGGGGTGCTGGAAAGCGGGAGAATGGGGCGGGGTGCTGGAAAGCGGGAGAACGGGGCGGGGTGCTGGAAAGCGGGAGAACGGGGCGGGTGATGGAAAGAGGGAGAATGGGGCGGGGTGATGGAAGGAGGGAGAATGGGGCGGGGTGATGGAAAGCGGGAGAATGGGGCGGGGTGATGGAAAGCGGGAGAATGGGGCGGGGTGATGGAAAGCGGGAGAATGGGGCGGGTTGCTGGAAAGCGGGAGAACGGGGTGGGGTGATGGAAAGCGGGAGAATGGGGCGGGGTGATGGAAAGCAGGAGAACGGGGCGGAGTGATGGAAAGCGGGAGAACGGGGCGGGGTGATGGAAAGCGGGAGAACGGGGCGGGGTGATGGAAAGCGGGAGAACGGGGCGGGGTGATGGAAAGCGGGAGAACGGGGCGGGGTGATGGAAAGCGGGAGAATGGGGTGGGGTGATGGAATGAGGGAGAATGGGGCGGGGTGATGGAAAGCGGGAGAATGGGGCGGGGTGATGGAATGAGGGAGAATGGGGCGGGGTGATGGAAAGCGGGAGAATGGGGCGGGGTGATGGAAAGCGGAAGAATGGGGCAGGGTTATGGAAAGACGGAGAATGGGGCGGGTTGATGGAAAGAGGGAGAATGGGGCGGGGTGATGGAAAGCGGGAGAATGGGGCGGGGTGATGGAAAGAAGGAGAATGGGGTGGGGTGATGGAAAGAGGGAGAATGGGGCGGGGTGATGGAAAGAGGGAGAATGGGGCGGGGTGATGGAAAGTGGGAGAATGGGGCGGGGTGATGGAAAGCGGGAGAATGGGGCGGGTGATGGAAAGCAGGAGAATGGGGCGGGTGATGGAAAGCGGGAGAACGGGGCGGGGTGATGGAAAGCGGGAGAATGGGGCGGGGTGATGGAAAGAGGGAGAATGGGGCGGGGTTACGGAAAGAGGGAGAATGGGGCGGGTTGATGGAAAGAGGGAGAATGGGCGCGGTGATGGAAGGAGGGAGAATGGGGCGAGGTGATGGAAAGCGGGAGAATGGGGCGGGGTGATGGAAAGCGGGAGAATGGGGCGGGGTGATGGAAAGCGCGAGAATGGGGCTGGGTGATGGAAAGCGGGAGAATGGGGCGGGGTGATGGAAAGCGGGAGAATGGGGTGGGGTGATGGAAAGAGGGAGAATGGGGCGGGGTTATGGAAAGAGGGAGAATGGGGCGGGTTAATGGAAAGAGGGAGAATGGGCGCGGTGATGGAAAGAGGGAGAATGGGGCGAGGTGATGGAAAGCGGGAGAATGGGGCGGGGTGATGGAAATCTGGAGAATGGGGCGGGGTGATGGAAAGCGGGAGAATGGGGCGGGGTGATGGAAAGAGGGAGAATGGGGCGGGGTGATGGAAAGCGGGAGAATGGGGCGGGGTGATGGAAAGCGGGAGAATGGGGCGGGGTGATGTAAAGCGGAGAATGGGGCGGGGTGATGGAAAGCGGGAGAATGGGGCGGGGTGATGGAAAGCGGGAAATGGGCGGGGTGATGGAAAGCGGGAGAATGGGGCGGGGTGATGGAAAGCGGGAGAATGGGG